TGCCCAGGATGGAGCTGGTGGCTGTCTTTAAATGGTTTTTAAAAAACATTTATTGCTAGGCTGAGTAACAGAAATCACTTGAGTTTCTAAAATAAAAGTTGTTTTAACGTATATTTTGACTCATTTTACTGGAGGAACGTGACGTCGCTCTGTCAGCTCCCTCCTACAATGATCCACATGGGGGCAAGACAGAATTCTGACAAGAAGACTTCTTCTCACAGCTGTTGGAGGGGATGGGAGGTCAGATCTGAATTATGACTGTCAGTGGAGGAAGTTCAGTATGGGATTGGAGGGATCCCCACCTCTGAGGGACTGGGTGAGAACAGGGCAGCACTGAACCTGGAGAAGCCTGGGAGGTCTCTGAAGCGTGAGGAGGGTGTTGAGGAAGACATGGGCACGTGACTGTGGTGATGCTCCTGTTCTGATCCTGACTAGGGTGGCATGGGATATCCAACGATCTGGCTCTTCCAGGTTTGAGTGGCTCTGCAGGAAATGGGCAAAAATAAGCTCCCAGATCTGGCAGTAGAGACCGTAGTCCAGGGAAACCATGTGGTCAGAGGGAGGATTGGGGCTGGGCTGTCCAGTAAGACCCTTTGTAATTCTCTGTGTGTGAACAAAGGCCTGGGGCCACAGATATACTCACGTTGTCGCACGTTAGCCAGTAGGGGTCAAGTCTCCACTAACCTTTAGGATACCTACAGGAGAAGCTGAGCTGATGGAGCTGCAGACCCACCATGTAGAGAACAAGTTCACAATACAGAACTTGCAGTTTTCTGGGCCAGAAAGCTGGGCATGTCAGTATATGTCTATAATCCTCACACTTGCGAGCCTAGAGCAGTAAGATATCTGAGTTCAGTGCTAGCTTGGGTTATGGGACTGCATTTACACGCACACACTCACACACCTACACACATACATACACACACAAACATCAATTAAAATTAAGTTATATATGTTGCGTATGTCCACAGCAAGGAGAAATGAAGTGTCATTCATTCATTCATTCATTCATTGCCTAGCATAAGCCAGGTTCTATGCCGGTGCCTATCTTCATTGACTAATTGATTTTTCACTAATTATTCCATTTCACAAATGTGTGTCAAATGCCTGCTGGCCACTGGGCCTGTCCCTGTCCTCATTGTCCCTCTGCTTCTGAAGCTTGCACACCTTGCTTTCTCCAGAAGCCTGGCATGTGTGTTCTGCAATGTCCCCATTCCGGCACTGTCTCACAGAGCTACAGAGGTACAGAGCGAGTGAGGCTTATGGGAACTACCAGCTAACCTTTTCAGTAACAGCCAGTTTGGTCAGGACCCTTTAAAATCCACAGCCACATGTTTTTATTTCAGAAAAGGGGGGCAGACAGAAATCAAACAAAAGCCCAAACCATTGAAAAAGAACAGGTTAGGTAACACAGGAAGGGGAGGCTGGAGTTGGGATAGGGAACTGGGTCAGGGGCTGGACTTGGACTGAGTAAGCAGCTTTAGAATAATCATTTACAAAGAAAGGCCCTGGAGGGAGACGTTGAGCAAGTAGCTCCTGCTGGGAGTCTGTCAGCCTCTGTCCCACCTTCCCTTGGAGCCACTGGCTCTGCCACGTGCTCTTTGGAGCAGCTGGCACTCCCACTGAAGCAGAAGTAAGAAGCTGCAGGCAGCCTGGGCATGCTGACCACCTTGGGACAGAACTGGCACCTGTCTGGCTTTTTTGCCACTTTCAGCGCATAGAGGGAGAAGGTAGAGGAGGAGGAGGAGGAGGAGGACAAAGAGGAAGAAGAGGAAGAGGAGGAAGAAGAGGAAGAGGAGAAAGAGGAAGAAGAGGAGGAGGGGGAAGAGGAAGAAAAGGAGGAAGAGGAGGAGGAAGAGGAAGAAGAGGAGGAAGAAGAAGAAGAGGAGGAGGAAGAAAAGGAGGAAGAAGAGGAGGAGGGAGGAGGAGGAAGAGGAGGAGGAAGAGGGCTGTGGTGTTGTTTTATATTTACTTTAAAAACCCAAACATTTATCTCTATCTTGAGTGTCTGGGTACTGTGTTCGGCTAATGCACAGACTTCAGGAAAGGGAGATGAACTTGTTTGAAGGTATGAAGAGGGGAACCTGCCAGAATGACATAGAAACCTGTGACCACTCCCGCAGCAGGATCATCAGGGTCTCCAGGAGAGGCTTCAAAGGCTTAGGCAGGGTCACCACTGTAGTCCTGGACCAGGGCCAGCCTGCAGTGTCCCAAACCAAATTCTAGAAATGAGTTTTGGTTACAAGCTCATTCCTGGGGTGAACGCTCTTGAGATGGTAGGTTTCTGGTAGAGGTGAATACGATCTTGGCTTGCCCCTGCAGAAGTCTAGGGACAAATTCATTATAACATAAGGAAAGCTGTAAGGGACAGGGACTTGCTGCTAAGGGGGTGTGGAACGTGAGACTTCTTTCTGCTGTCATATCTGACTTAGACTTCGTTTTCTGTGGGCTAAAAGAACCGACTTCCCTTCCACTTATTCCTGAGGGTTCGGCATTGCCCCACTGGCCCACGGATAGCCTTCAGCAAACCGTGAGAAGCATCAGGACCATGGGCTTGCTGGCAGCTTACTGAAACAAAGGAATTGGGGTATACAGGAAGGGGTTCGTTCAACACGGTTCCTGTTCTGTTCTGAGGGACAAAAGCTGTCTTTTCCACCAGTAGGCTAATCACAGCACAGTGACTATCTGAGACAATTGTTCCTTCGAACATAAACATCAAAACCACAGCCAGACCAATATCCACTCCCTCAAAGAATGCAAAAAAGAGCAGTAAAGTTGTTGGTTTTTTTTAATGTGAAATTAAAAAACCCACATAGAAATAAAATCTTAGGTAATATCCAAGTTCCAATGGTTCTAACCCCTACACTTCAGTAGAGGGGGAAGGAGTCTCCTTCAAGTTTGTTTTCACACACCAGAGACTCAGGTGCTTAGCAGAAAGAGCTGCAAAATTGGTGAGAGCAAAATTAAAATGTTCATGTCGACCACGTGCTGGTCACAAAACCAGGACACAGCAAACACTCACTAAATGGTCACTCCTTTTCTTCACTTCAGACCCCTCTGAAGCTGGCACAGTTCTGGCAGAGTCAGAGTGGAGTAATGGACAATTAGGGCGTTGCTTAGATATCCATAGATAATGACACATTTGGCTTTGGATTGAGACTCCAAAGCTTTTAGATTTATAGTATATTTGCATGATTGTAGTTATATAAGCTGCACTGGAAAAAAATCGAGGAGCCTCTTGGACTGCTTTACTCAGCATTCTTCTACAGCAAATGAAATAGCTACACAGGTTCTCCACTTCTTATCTCTGTTCCCACTCCTGCTGTGTAGTTACCACATGGGGCTGAGAAGGGGGAGAACCAGAAGGTGAATAAATCCATTGGGTTTCAGCTATTAAATAGCAACTGTGTCTTGTATGTGTGTATTTCTCTTTCTTCCTCTTCCTCCTCCTCCTCCTCCTCCTCCTCCTCCTCCTCCTCTTCTTCTTCTTCTTCTTCTTCTCCTCTTCCTCCTCCTCCCCTTCTCCTTCTCTTTTCCTTTCTTCTTCTCCTCCTCTTCTCCTTCTCTTCCTCCTCCATCTCCTTTTCCTTCTATTTCTCTTTCTCTTCTCCTTCTCTTCCTTCTCCTCCTAGTCCTTCTATTCCTCTTCCTCCTCCTCCTTCTTCCTCTTCCCCCTCTTCTTCTTTTCTTCATCCTCCCCTTACTTTTTAACAGACAAGGAAACTGAGTAACCGAGGCTCACAGAACAACACGAGTTATCCAATTCTGTTTCTCTCAGTCACAATGAAAGTGTGACCTAGGCCATTAGAAGAAAGACGTGCACACGTAGGTTGAAAGGAAAGGAAAATATCTTTGTCTCACTCAAAATAACATGATCTAACATTTACGATAGCATGGCTATCAAGACATTACATGCCAGTTTTCTACCCCATAGCTAAGGCAAACAAAGACTTAAAGTTTCATCCAAGGTCACACAGCCAGAATGATGGTGAAATTGAGATTTAACTCTAGAGTCTCTGACTCTGAGTTGCTTTTATTTCTCCATAGCATCTGTCTTATGTTCATAACCATCTGGACAGGAGAAACCATGTCTGAATTTGATGTCAATGAATGTTCTGTGTGGCTGGTAACTTTGGATAGACTGTCTGGGTTTTCCCAAGCTCACTTGTCTTTGAAAGTCAGTGAAGAGCCTGCTTTCTTAATGCCTTCAGAATCACAAGGCAGTACACGGTTTCTGAGCAACAGAGTTGGTCCACACTTGGATCTCAAAGCAACATGTTCACATGCACCCTGAGTCGTACAGACTTAAGGACAGAACTCTTCCTTTTGTTCTTCATCCCACAATGGAGTTGATGGTCTTAAAAGTTCCTGATGACACGACCAATATGATCCCCTCCCTATCTGTATGTTTGGTGTGGCCTGGGAAGAAAGGGGCTGAGATATTTTGATAATGGCTGCAACATTGCAGCATTGGAGGCCAGCTTCTCTCTGTAAGAACAGGCTGGTCCCTCCACCATAGTCATGGTATAGAGTGCCCCACTTCCTGGACCACATGGAGTCAAGAGAGCTGGAAATCCGGAGTGAGTACTCTCAGAGTCTCAAACCGACCTGCCTCCCCTGGCAAGCTAGATGGGAAGCCCACACAGGCCTGGGTGGCGGCCAGCTTCCCATGGGTTCGTCCACAACAGGGAGCCACAAAGTCTTCAGGACATTTTTTTTTTCAAGTTGGGAAACCCAAATACTAATCTCCTCTTCTGATGATTTTACAAAAATCAAATTGCATGACAGATGAGCAGATAGACAGGAGCCGTTCGCAAACCAAAGCAGGTTCTGGATTGGAGCTGATTAGTAGATGTTTTAATGGCCATTAGGTTGATAATCACTCACCAAGAATAGCTTCCAGGCAGACCAAACCCATGCGGTAAGAGGGCCCACACCCAAGCTCACCAACACCTAATTGGGAGGTATATAAGGGACCCTGTGAGTCTCCCAACAGCACAGTTTGGTCTCCAACCTCGGATCTGCTCAGGAATATTCACTTGTCTTGCTGAGCAAAAACATCATGAGTTGCCAGATCTCCTGCAAGTCCCGAAGAGGAGGAGGCGGAGGAGGCGGAGGAGGCGGTGGATTCAGGGGCTTCAGTAGTGGTTCAGCTGTGATCTCTGGAGGGAGCCGGAGATCGACTTCGAGCTTCTCCTGCCTGAGCCGCCATGGTGGTGGCAGAGGAGGCTCTGGTGGAGGTGGCTTTGGCAGTCAGAGTCTTGTTGGCCTTGGAGGTTACAGGAGCATCTCTAGTAGCGTGGCTGGCTCCGGTGGTGGATTTGGTGGCAGGAGCTCCGGGGGCTTCGGAGGTGGCTTTGGTTTTGGAGGAGGCCGTGGATTTGGAGGTGGCAGCGGCATCGGAAGTGGCAGCGGCATCGGAGGCAGTGGATTTGGCGGAGGTGGCTTTGGCGGAGGCCGCTTTGGAGGTGGCAGCGGCATCGGAAGTGGCAGTGGCATCGGAGGCGGTGGATTTGGCGGAGGTGGCTTTGGCGGAGGCCGCTTTGGAGGTGGCCCTGGAGGATTCCCCGGTGGAGGCATCCATGAAGTGTCTGTCAATCAGAGCCTTTTGCAGCCTCTTGATGTTAAAGTAGACCCAGAGATCCAGAACGTGAAATCTCAGGAGCGGGAGCAGATCAAAACCCTCAACAACCAATTTGCCTCTTTCATTGACAAGGTGAGTGAGAGAGGCCGTACCTTCTGTGATGAGATGCTGGGATCCTGCACTTGTTGGGCTGGCTGAAAAGGACAGGACAGACTCTCCCTCAAGAGTCATTGCTGAGGCCACTGTAGTCAAGGGACTTTGCAGATTCCAAATAGGAGAGATGCTGGTCTTGTGGACTGTACATTCTTCAACGGTTTCTTTGTATTTTATTTTTCAGCCCAAATAAATGCTATTTACAGAAAATTCTGATCTATAGAAAAGTCAAAATAGGCGAGTAATAACAGAGCAAGTCAGGCCAGGTGACAGCAGGATTGGAAAGCGATAGTGGGAGAGTATTGCGTTTATTTTTCCTGTTATTAGCCTAATAAATCCCAGGAATCTATACTTGAAATATCTTTGGGGTTGAATAAAATTCCAGCCTTCCAGAGAACCAGCTCATTTTGGTGACCCATAAACTTTTTATTGGTGTCACTTTGGGGTGTTGCTGTCTTGGTTCCTCTGCTTTGGATTAGACAGGATTTACAAGACTCTTAAAACTCAGGGGAGGAGTCCTGCCTGTCCCCAGGACTCTCTTATTTGATGCAATCTGCTGCTGGGACAGCAGGTGCCTGCTTTTTTTTTTTATTGTTTAGAATTTATAGGGCTTTGAAAGAGTGTTAGAAAGGAGGAGGGGAATGCCTGGAGTCTGGGGAGGAGCTGGGAGCAAAGCCTTGAGCCTGAAGTAGGAGAATTAAGAACGGAGAGGAACAGAGGCCATGTCAGAAGTCTATAGAACCTCCATGTGTGATGTCGGGAAGCTCAGAAGCTCTCATGGTGCTTCCCAGCCCACCTTGGGCAGTGAGGGTGAAGTCTCGTGACTTGTACATCTCCCAGAGCAGCATCAGAAGCTCTCGGTTGAGCGTGATGGTTCACTGGTGTGAAAGGTGACCCCACCTTCTGTATTCTTCCTCTGGACACTGTAGGTGCGATTCCTGGAGCAGCAGAACCAGGTGTTGCATACCAAATGGGAACTCCTGCAGCAGTTGGATGTAGGCACCCGCACCACCAACCTGGACCCCCTCTTCCAGGCCTACATTGGCATGCTCAAGAAACAGGTGGATGGGCTTTCTGCAGAAAGGACCTCACAGGATTCAGAGCTGAATAACATGCAGGATCTTGTCGAAGACTTTAAGAAGAAGTAGGTGACAAAGGAGACCTTGAGTGGAGATGGGATTTTTTTACTGTGGTCATTGGCTCTCTTATCACTCAGCGGTGCCTGGGCTGGTATACCTGGGTGGTATGGAGGGGCAAATCTTTTTTTTGAGTGCAAAGAAGGCAGGGATCTGGAGCTCATACATGCTTGAGTTAATGCATAGGAAGGTACCTTCATTTTGGATTTTTATATTTTCTATCTGGGCATTTAAAAAGAGTTTAATTTTTCTAGTTGAAAAGAGGAAAGGAAAAAAAAAAACAACCTGGCCAACCGGATCTGGCCTAACTGTGGTTGTCTTTTGGGGGCTCAACAGGTACGAGGATGAGATCAACAAACGCACGTCTGCGGAGAATGATTTTGTGACCATTAAAAAGGTGAGTGAGAGACTACCCTGGGCGCGTGGAGACTGAGACTGTTCCACATCTTACCATGTCTAGAGAGGTAGCTAAGAAATCACTGTGAGGGCACACAGCCAGAGTTAGGTTAGGGGCACGTCAGGAGCTGGTTCTCTTGAGAAGAGCCTCTGTGTTCTAACTTCCATAGGCAATGTTCCAATTTGTTTACTGTGTTTGGGAGAGCACCCCTAATCAATAATCAATAATCAATCAATAATCAATAATCGACTTAAAGACTGTCATGGAAAAAAAAAAACACCAAAAGAAATAAGCAAGGCACTTTATTCTTCTAAAAAAGGATGGGAGAAATCGGGCTTGTTAGAATGCCTGCTTATGAGTTATGATGATCAAGGATTGAACTAGAAAACCACAAAGTGTTAGCCTAGGTCCTGCAGGGGTTTTAGAGAACAATCCGTATAAGTTCAGGAGAGTCTGGATGGGTAGGTAGGATGGGGGCGTGGAATATGGTGGAAAGGAACAGAAACCGACTCACCCCTAGGGGAACTCACCATGTCTTAATCGGGAGGGAGACTCGGTGGTGGTGTTCCGTCCATTGTGAGCTCTCGTGGTGGTGGAGTGTGTGAACTGTAGATCTGGGCATGGAACCCCCTACAGAGATGCCTATGCTAAATGAGGCTCTGTGGAGATACAGCTCATCTGGAAGTGCTGGGATCACAGAGGGTAGTTAACCAGTAGTCACTGGGTGGAGGCACCAGAGAGAAGCTGGGACCCACTCAGGGTTGTATCTTTCTTTGCAGGATGTGGACAGCTGCTACCTGGACAAGGCAGAGCTGCAGTCCAGGGTGGACCTACTGACACAGGAAATGGATTTCATGACAACACTCTATGATGCGGTAAAGGATGCTGTCCCCAATAGACCTACTTCCTACTATTGGCATGGTGGCAAAGATTTTTTTTTTTTTAGAATGCTCATAAACACCTTTCTGTCACCATTGCCATCTTGAGAATAAAACCCAGGACATGCTTAGTCTGAGAGTCCCCATTTCCTCAATGCCAAGGGAAGGAGGCTTTTCACTCTCTGTGGCCATGGAACGTGATGACCAATTGTCTGTGTATTGTAGGAACGGTCCCAGCTACAGCAGAATGTCACTGACACCAACGTCATCTTGTCCATGGACAACAACCGGAACCTTGACCTGGACAGCATCATTGCGGACGTTCAGAGTCAATACGAGATGATCGCCCATAAGAGCAAGGCTGAGTCAGAGGAGCTGTACCACAGCAAGGCAAGTCCTGGGGACACAGGGAGCCACAGCTGAGCATCATCAACCGGGTCACGTCCAGGAAGGGTACTGGAGTGTCTGTCTAATGGAAGTTGAGCCTCGTTGCTAGAGCACTACAGAGAGTAGTAACTAAATCCTTTAGGCCACGTGAGATGGTTTCTCACCTGCAGTATGTCATGGTCAGGTTGGTTGACTATTCCTTGCCTGTCATCAGCCTTCTTTAGCTCAGGCTAAGCCTTCCTCAGATCGGCATCCCTGTGAACCGTCTCCCTTTTTTCCTCATTAGTATGAAGAACTCCAGGTCACCGCTGTGAAACATGGAGACAGCTTGAAAGAGATCAAGATGGAGATCAGTGAGTTGAACCGTATGATCCAGAGGCTGCAAGGGGAGATATCACATGTGAAGAAGCAGGTGGGGTCTCTCTCTCTCTCTCTCTCTTTCTCTTTTTCTCTCTCAGCATAGGGGAGAGCAAGAGGGACAGGATCTCTGTCCCCCTGAGAAGTTCTAATCTAGTTCATATGAATCCCAATGTCTTCCAGATCAATGCTTTTAGATTTTTAGAGTAGTTCAAGAAATGTTCTGAAGTGAATACTGGCAAAGGGAAAGAATCTTTTGACTTAAAGGGAGCAATAGCAAATAAAGCAAAATCTGGTTTGGCTTGTGGTGATTTTAGACACAGCTTCGTGTTCCTGTATGGTACATCCCCTAGACACTAGCGGTGACAACTATGTCCACAGAAAGGCAGTGAATGAGCTGGTGCAAGCTGGACCTTGTCCGTGCAGCTGATTGCTAGGGACATAGTCTGTTGAGTAGGTAGCAGAGCTACCTGTGCTGGGAGGGTCAAGAGCATTGCAGGGAAAGCCTATGGGTCCAGTCAAGGGCGTACAGGAGGAAGATAGCTGAGGGATGGCAGCTGCAAGTCAGGGCACAGATGTCTGCAACATCTATTAGCTCCAATGGGGGAGGGGAGTATCTGAGACTTCTAGGGCCATCAATTCTGGTTTCCTGTGCCAAGCGTCTTGTCTCTCATGCCCTCCAGCAGCCTGACCCAACTCTGTACAAACAGAGCCCTCTCTTCTTTCCTCACAGTGTAAGGGTGTACAAGACTCCATTGCAGATGCAGAGCAGCGTGGGGAGCACGCCATCAAAGATGCCAGGGGCAAGCTCACAGACCTGGAGGAGGCCATGCAGAAGGCCCGAGAGAACCTGGCCCGGCTGCTGCGTGACTACCAGGAGCTCATGAACACCAAGCTTTCCCTGGATGTGGAGATTGCCACCTACAGGAAGCTGCTGGAGGGCGAGGAGTGCAGGTAGGGGGCACTGCTGGGAGGGTATCAGGCTCTACACTCTCTAGGCAGGGCCTTGGACTAGTGAGGTGGGTGTCAATAGGCTTCTCCAAGCAGACTTTTAGGACGAAAGGAACAGCATTGTCCTCTAAGAAGTACAGGATGATAGGCAGGCCTGTTACCAGACATTTAAACATCCTGATCTTTAGAAGAGACACAAAATGATGTGAATATGGGTAGACAGGCTGAAGGGTTTGTCTCTAAGACTACAGAGTGACTAGCTTCCCTCACCACCATGGCATGATCCGGAATGGAGACATGGTATCACATGTGTCAGAGGAACCTTCTTTTAAAGGATCTAGAATGACAAACAGAATCATCTGACTACTTTAAGGAGAGTCCTTTGATTGCTTTGTCACCAGCATTCTTAGTGACTTAAGGTGGCTGAAACCATTGAAAGGGGAAACACAATTGGGGTCAACATCCCTGGGTATCAGAAGCCCTGGGTATCAGAATCCCTGGGCATCAGCATCCCTGGGCATCAGCATCCCTGGGTATCAGCATCCCTGGGTATCAGCATCCCTGGGCATCAGCATCCCTGGGCATCAGTATCCCTGGGTTGCAGTATCACTGGGTATCAGCCTCCCTGGGTATCAGCCTCCCTGGGTATCAGAAGCCCTGGACATCAGTATCCCTGGATATCAGAAGCCCTGGGCATCAGCATCCCTGGGTATCAGAAGCCCTGGACATCAGCATCCCTGGGCTTCAGTATCTGTAGGCATCCACAGCCAGCATGACAAAGGAGCTGCCTTTTCCAAGTGACTGCTGCATGCTTGTCTGAAAGGCAATGTGTCCTGTGAGTAAGAAGGAGCTGGCAGGCATTGTAATCTGGGGTTGAAACAGCCAAGGGTTCGGTGGACGCAGGAGGCAGGGAGTCTAGGAAAGGTAGGCATCTTGACAGTAGTTCTTTCTGCTGAATGTTCATGGTGTGGCCTTGTTTTGAAATGTTGGGTGTGTCATGGACTCTGGATAGCAGAGTCCCTGAGCTGTAAGTACAAACTGGGGTAGGCTGTCGGAAGTGGCTTGGTTTTTCAGCCACTCTGGATCTACAGTGCAAGTGTTTGTTTTGATTGGACCAAGACCTCAGGATGGACTGAGATTGAGGCTGTAGATAAGTGTGGGGTCTGTCACCACCTCTGTCATCAACTGTCATCTGTCAGCATAGAAGGTGTGGCTGACTGAAGTAGCTAAACTTGAACGTAGGTAGAAGTTATAAAACAACTTTGTCCATCCATGTAGAATCCAGATGCCTGCTCACAAATCTTTTTTCTTCTCTCCTTGACAGGATGTCTGGAGACTTCAGTGACAACGTGTCTGTGTGTATGTAGAGGGACATTCACCTGTCTTATGGGGCAGTGGCGGGTAAGGGTGGTCAGAACTTCTGTGTTAACGCCATCTCTCTTACAGCCGTGACAAGCAGCACTATTTCCTCATCTGTGGCATCTAAGGCTGGCTTTGGCTCTGGAGGTCAAGGTTCAGGAGGAAGAGGGTCTTATGGAGGACAAGGAGGAGGAAGCACCTATGGCTCTGGAGGTAGAAGCTCTGGCTTCAGAGGATCTGGATCCGGATCTGGAGGAGGCGGATACAGTTCTGGTGGAGGTTCCAGGGGAGGATCTGGAGGAGGAGGATTCAGCTCTGGAGGAGGCTCTAGGGGTGGCTCCAGCTCTGGAGGAGGAGGATACAGCTCTGGAGGAGGCTCTAGAGGTGGTTCCAGCTCTGGAGGAGGAGGATACAGCTCTGGAGGAGGCTCTAGAGGCAACTCTGGCTCTAGAGGAGGAGGACATAGCTCTGGAGGAGGCTCCAGGGGAGGATCTGGAGGAGGAGGAGGCTCCAGCTCTGGAGGGGCAGGATACAGCTCTGGAGGAGGCTCCAGAGGTGGCTCCAGCTCTGGAGGAGCAGTGTCTGGCTCTGAAAGGGGTGGTTCTGGGTCAGGGGAAGGTTGCAGCTCAGGTGTGACCTTCTCCTTTAGATAGAGATGGGTCCTCTCTCTACTCTTTGACTCCAGAATGTCAGCTGCATCTCTGTATCTCTAGCTCTGATCAACTCTAGTATTTGTAATCCACCTCTGATGTGATTTTTTTTTCCTGAGAGGGGTTGATAATAGATCTCTCTTAACAATTAGAGCCAGAGATACTCACTGTGTTTGGGGAAAGAATCTGCATTGTCCAAGTGTGTCTTCAAGCCGTGTCCCACTCCTGGCCTCTCTCATTGTCTACCTGGCAGCCCTCCCAGATGGTGGTGTGTTGAGGACCCCAGGGTAGCCTCCCTATTCTACCCCCAACAGTAGTCTAGGGAACTATGCTTTTTTGTACATAGCATCTTGAATGGACTCTGCTTTCTGAGTGCTGGGGTCTGGGTCTCTGCATAATAAAACTTCATTTGCAATTGATATTGTGTAATGTCTATTGGATGTCAAGCTTTTGTAGAAGTGGGGCCCACAGAGAAACATTTTGGAATGATAAAAGAGGGTTCCTGGGGAAGGGATGAGCCTTCATGGAAGGGGTGTCTGGGAGATCAGGAGGTTTTCCTGTGGTGGGAGAGGGCAGGGGATGGTTCTGGAGTCAGAGTTGTTGCAATATTCTCAGAAAGGATTCGTCAGATTGGGAACCATGGCTTTGCTGGGTGGCAAGCCGGGAAATTTATAGAAAATTTCTTTCTAGGCAGGAGTGCTCTTCCTGGGAAGCAGTTCCCACAGAGTGTCCCCTCCAGCTTTGCTTAGGGCAAACTAGCTGAGCCCTGGATAGCCACCAAGTTTGTTGCAGCTGAGTTTTCAGAGCAGAACACACTCAGCCCAGCACAGGAGAGATTTATGTCCCTATGAGTGTTCTCTCCCTGGCCAGGATGAAACAGGATGCCTGAATGGGATCTTCAGAAAAATCTGCTCCTGTTTGTACAGGTGAGCAGCCCTGTGTCAGCACACCAGGCACCTCACTTTCCTTTTCATTCACAAATTCTCCTTCTGGTCATACCCTTCCAAGAGGCCCACTGAGGTTGAATGCTCAGATGTGAAATGGGGAGAGCCTCACACTGGGAATAAGGTACACTTGTGTGACATTGGGAGAATTTGTTTTTCCTCCCAAACTATAGTTCTGTATCATTTCAGGGAGTCAGACTGGGAGCTCTGAATGTAAGAACATAGTCTATGTGTCCTCTTTTTCCCCAGAGATCATAGTTTAGGACCCACAATCAGTGAGGAGGCTGAAGAGCTCTCTGAGGATGAGTGTGAGCAAGAGTGTGAGTGTGGGTGTGAGCATGGGTATGAGTGTGGGTGTAAACATGGGTGTGAGTATAGGAACGAACTTAAGTGTGAACAAGAGTGTGAGCAAGAGTGTGATCATGAGTGTGAACATGGGTGTGAATGTGAGCAAGAGTGTGAGCAAGGGCATGAGTATGAGTTTAAGCATGGGTGTGAACATGGGTATGAGTATGAGTGTGAGCAAGGGTGTGAGCATGAGTGTGAGTCAGGGTGTAATCATGAGAGTGACTGCGAGTGTGAGCATGAGTGTGAGTATGGGCATGAACATTGGTGTGAGCATGAATATGAGCAAGGGCGTGAAGATGGGTGTGAACATGAATGTGAGCATGAGTGTGAGCAATGGTGTGAGCATGAGTGTGAGTGTGGGTGTGAGCAAGAGTGTGAGTAAGAGTGTGAACAAGGGTGTGAACATGAGTGTGAAGGTGGGTATGAGTATGGACATGAGCATGAGTGTGAGCATGAATGTGAGCATAAGCGTGAGCGTGGGACCCTCCAAGTTCTTCTCACTCTACTTAGCTAAATGTCTCACACCATGATGGAGGCGAGAGGCTGTGTTTGGCTGCTCAGAGATGAAGGCTGAGCTCCAGCAGGAAGTTCACCGTGTAGGTAGGGATGGATGCACTTATTCAGAGTGAGATGCAGTTAGCGAAGTGGCTACAATGGGACCTGCTGTGTATATTAAAGCAATTTGGAAGCTTATTTAAATCACACAGTCTTACTTGCAGCTCCTAGAGGAGTTGGGAGGATCCTGGAAATGCACAGGATTAACAAGCTCTAGGTGCGCCTGAGGCTGTGGCATGAGAACTGCATTCTGGGGACTCGGTGGTGGGCTCATTGTCTGGTTCTTTGAGATTCAGTAGGCACTTAGTAAAAATAGTAAGGATTGGATGAAGGAATGTAAGACCTCTGGTACATTTTTAACACTTTTTAACAAATCAGACCCTAGATTTACACATTTATAAAACAATAAAATAGTATCTCTTTACAAGGCTGCCTGAAAGATAAACAAAGTGAAAGTGAGAACTGTCTGCTCATTCCTTAGGGCCTGTGCCTTCACTGCATGCAGCGGTGCATTCCTCACTCTTCTTATTAGACAGTATTGGGGGTACTGGGAAGGTTTCACAGCTGAGCTGGCTTTGCACACAAGCACTGAGGGATACGTAGGATTAAGATAGAATAACACCAATTTCACACAAACTCTTCCAGAAGACAGAAAAATCAATACCTTTCAACTTGTTTTAAGGAACCACACCAAGATGTTGTAAAACAAAAACACCCCGAAACATGTTCACATCCCTCAAAAACACAGACTCCAAAGTTCTCAAGAAGATATGAGCAAATTTGACTCAGGGATTTGTAATAAAGGATATAACATCATGTGATGTGAAGCTTATCCCAGATAGGAAAGGCTGGTCAACAGCAAGAATCAGTTACTTGGTTTACTTGCCAGAACTGAAGAACCAAAGCAAACCATTTGCTGTATTGTCACAGTATAGGAGAAAAACACACATGGCCATCTGAACAAATGCAAGCGCACTTGATAAGTTGAACATCTATTCCTTGAGAAATCAGACAGCACACTGTGAGCAAAGAAGATGGCGGGGACCCGCTGGAAAATTCTCTGGCAGGTGCTCTCTGGACTCAGCTTTTGGATCTGAACTGCATTCTCCAGCTTGCCATCTCCCCCATCAGACTCTGCATTGTAAGATTTTCACAGTCACATGAATGGGTGAGAGAGAGAGAGAGAGAGAGAGAGAGAGAGAGAGAGACAGAGAGAGAGACAGAGAGAGGGAGGGAGGGAGAGAAAAAAGAAGGGTCAGAGACATATAGAGGAAGGGGGAAGTAGGGGAGGGAGGGAGAGGGAAGGTGAGATAGATAGATAGATAGATAGATAGATAGATAGATAGAGAGGTTTTCCTTAGAGTAAACATTAAATGTTGAAAGCCATAATGCTTTCCCGCTAAGAGGGAACAGGTACCAGTCTTATTTAGTATTATATTGGAGTTCCTAATCCAAGAAGTATAAAACATACAGGTTGGAAGGAGGAAACACGATTGGTCTTACTTATACACTGATTGTGTGTGTACAAAGTCCCAAAGAACTTGACTAGCATTGACTAGCATGCCTGTGTCATGTTGACTCATGCAAACACTGCGATATTTGTAGCTTGGTGCTTTCCATTGAGATAAATAGTAGGTGCTGAGAGACTAAGGTTGCCAACTCCACACTGGGAACTCAAAGTGTGTCCCCTCGGGCACTTATGGATCTAGTCCATACGTGTGTTTTGAGCAAGGAACCAGTTGGCCATGGTTCAAATCCTGCTTCTACCAGTTAGCTTAGTCAAAACAAAGATATTAGCAGTAACTGCCTCCCAGTGCTGTTTTCAGTATTTACTTATTTTATGTGGATGAGTGTTTTGCCTGCAGGTATGTATGTGCATCATGTGCATGCCTGGCTCCTTTGCTGCTGGTTGCTTGGTCATGAAGACAGCAAGATGGGTGAGCAGGCAGACCATTGCTTACATCAGACAGCTGTGGCCATGATAACAGGACAGTCTGCTATCAAGATTCCCAAGAGAGACTTATTTCCCAGAATCCCTGAGGATTCTTCTTGGCATTCAATCTTCCTCAGAGATCTAGACCAATAGTTCTGCAACTCTGCTGGGGCTCAGCATCAGCTGAGCCACCATTCACTCCATGAAGATGGGAAATGCATCCCACACCCTTGCTTCCTTTCTGGTTTCCCAAGTGGTCTTTTATGGAGCTGGAAATATGGACACTGGCATCAACCATTGTAGGACTGAGGGTAGAAGTCTTTGCGTGCAGGTGAGGGTAGATGAGCACCTGACTGGTACAGGGGATCATGGGACCTACCTGAAGGCACACATGAGGTTCACCACCAGAGGGTGGAGCCTGGATTTGGATGCCCGTCCTGTGTCCTTGACAAATCAGCCATGAGAAATGTTTCCAGCAGCCTTGGGAAACCAGGCCTTGGGACTTCCTAACCACATGAAAGCAGCTTAGCCAGGGTCTCTGACGCGGATGATCTGATGCTGGCACAGGTGGGAGATTTCTCAGCGATGACACTGTCAATTAGAAGTCTCCTTCAGAACTCCTACAATCCCAACCCTCTGCAGGACAGCTGGGACCATGACAAGCTCTCTAGCCAAGATCTTCCTGGGGATAATATGGCCTAGCTAATTACCCCATGCTAATAAGACTCAATTACATGCAGAGGACTTGCAAGCCCAGCACTTTGGGGGTTTTCATCTTGCCTTATGTCTATGATTTTGATAGGAGAAAATCATTTCTTCCTTCCAGGCAAATTAAAACCAACAATTAGCTCAATTGTTCTCTTGAGGTCTATAAAGGGGAAGACCAAGATCACAAGCAGGTGAACAGTCAGTCTCTTGGTGAAGGTGTGCATCTCATTCCCTGTCTGTGGCTTCTTCATGATGAATCGGCAATTCACCTGCAAGCCTGGAGCTGCCAACAGGGGCTTCAGCGGCTGCTCAGCTGTGCTATCCGGAGGCAGCGCATCCTCTTACCGGGCAGGGGGCAAAGGGCTCAGTGGAGGCTTCAGCAGTCGGAGCCTCTACAGCCTGAGGAGCCCCAGGAGCATCTCCTTCAATGTGGCTAGTGGCAGTGGGCGCACAGCGGGATATGGGTTTGGCCGGAATCGGGCCAGTGGCTTTGCCGGCAGTATGTTTGGCAGCGGGGCTCTGGGGCCTTCAAATCCATCCCTGTGCCTGCCTGGAGGCATCCACCAGGTCACAGTCAATAAGAGCCTCCTGGCTCCTCTCAACGTGGAGCTGGACCCGGAGATCCAGAAGGTGCGCGCCCAGGAACGGGAGCAGATCAAGGCACTGAACAACAAGTTCGCCTCCTTCATCGACAAGGTGGGACTGCTGATAGCTAGATATCTTTTTTTTCCTCTACCTCCACTGCCCTCAGAGCCCCCTGTCTGGAGATAGGATGATGCTACCCCTTCCCAGGACACAGACACATCACAGTGCAGGGCAGAGAGGTAACAGACAATCCCCGGACTGAGAGGCAGACCTAAAGGCATGTAAAGAGAGAGCTCATTACATTTGGAAGGTGTCTAGGAGGAAGAGCAGTGGCCTCTTGCTAGAG